GCCAACACTACCACCACTCTTCTTCATCTTCTCGAGCACTATTCCCATCGGCGCCATTGACGCTAATGGACGTAAAGGATTGCTGCTGCCTCCTGCCTCCTGCCATCCTGCCTGTAGCACTCAAGGGAGTTGTAGCCCTGCCGATGCTACTGATGCTTGCACACAAACACACAGACACTCTCTCTCACCACTTTACTCGCCCCTATTAGGCAACTAGTGTGAGTGGTGACATCGAGAAGTGTGTCTGTGTGNGTAGCCCTGCCGATGCTACTGATGCTTGCACACAAACACACAGACACTCTCTCTCACCACTTTACTCGCCCCTATTAGGCAACTAGTGTGAGTGGTGACATCGAGAAGTGTGTCTGTGTGCTGATTGCGAGCCGATAAAAGTGCCTTCGACGATTCCGCCGACAGTGTGCCTGTGTGTGCGTGCGAGGCAGTCTAAGCTCTCAAGAGCAAACATGAGCTTCAATGAAAATGAAATGAAACGAAAATGAAATGAAGCAAAAGAAGCCAAAAGTGAAAATCAAAGTGAGACAAAAAGCAGTGGAGCACTGTGAATGAATGAGCTGAGTGAGCTGCTGCTCATCGACGACAATCGTAGTGAAATCACCTCCGAGACACCGAGAAAGAGACACAGAGTGATAGTTTTTCCTTCGATAGCCATCTCTAATGAGGTGAATGGGGAGCAAGGGAAGGCAACCTCTCAGTACGGCACATATTCGTACAATCATCATTATCATCGTCATCCTCATACCATAGTACTGCTCTGAAACGGTAATCAATTTGTGCTCCAGCAGCACACGCAGGTGCTTTCACGTGAAGCAGCACATTTCATCACCAGCAACAGCATCACACTGCCTCCTCTCGCCCTCACGTCAACACATAAATCAACAGTGTAAAGGAGGCAGTGAAGCAGTGTGAGTGGCCGCCATCCAATTAGCCATCGTGGTCAGCAGCAGCAGTAGTTGGTCAGTAGTGCCTGATGCTGCTGCTGCTGGCAATCGAATCAACACCGAACGAGCAGTGAATGTGCAGAGCACAGGTAATGCTCTCCATTGCACAACACTGACTGACTGACTGACTGACTGTGACTACAAGCACAGGACTCATTGGTGTTAGACCAATTTGTGCAGACGGCTCTAATCGAGCCACGAGAATCAATCGACAACAAGACAACAAGAAGGGGAAGGGGAAGGAGGAGGAGGAGGAGGAGGACAATAAAAGAAAGCTGTTGCTGCTGTTGCGGACAAACCTGCAAATGGCAGTTGGCGTGTATGTGTGTATGTGTGTGTTTCACTGGCTCGTAAACGAGACGATCAAAACAGGCGAGAGGCGATAAAATCTACTGCTGCTGCTCATTATATTGGCCATTGTATGCAGACGAAGGGAAGGCAGGCAGGCAGGCAAATTGAGTATCAATAAATAATGGCCAATTTAGTAGTAGACACAAGCAACGAGCAGCAGCGAGAGTGAGTGAGAGGAATAGCAACTGCTGCTGCTGCTGCTGCAGCTCTTCACCTCTGCTGACCACCACTGTCCGAGACACACTCGAGAAAGAGACTTTGCAAATTAAATTTATTTGCAAGCGCCAGTCATCGAGTCATCGAGTGAGTCAGTGGAAGTCAGTGGAAGTCAATCCTGCCAATTCGGCTACAGCGTCTGTGTGTAATAAAGAATAACTCGTCTCAGCATCAGCACCTACGACTGATAAGACCACAGTGGTGGCGGTGGTGGCGGTGGGCAATTAGGCACAATCATATCACCTGTTGAATCAACACTGCTGAGGCTGCTGCTGTTTGCTCTTCAACAGGCACGCTTCTGTCGGACGCACGCAAACAGACAAACAGATCGATAGTGAAGGGGAAGGAGAAGGAGAAGGAGAAATAGAAACAGAAGCGGCTAATTGTGCTGGGGAGTGTGAAAGGAAAACAGTGATCAACAGGCTAAGCAAACACACAGACAGACAGACAAAATGTCTGAGTGACTGACTGACAGACGCATCATNTGTTGAATCAACACTGCTGAGGCTGCTGCTGCTGTTTGCTCTTCAACAGGCACGCTTCTGTCGGACGCACGCAAACAGACAAACAGATCGATAGTGAAGAAGGAGAAGGAGAAGGAAAAGTAGAAACAGAAGCGGCTAATTGTGCTGGGGAGTGTGAAAGGAAAACAGTGATCAACAGGCTAAGCAAATACACAGGCAGACAGACAAACTGTCTGAGTGACTGACTGACAGACGCATCATCGAGTGCAAACTAACGGCAGCAGCAGCAGCCGTTGAGAGTTGAGCAGTGCCAGCACTGATATCAAATGGGCCATCTCACTCAAAGATGCGAGTGAATTCAAACGAGCCGAGTTTGAAGCAGTGGCGAAAAAGTCCAAGTGCAGAGTGCAAATGAAGAAGAAGAAAAAAGCAAGTGAAAGAGAGTACCGCCAAATAGGCATGAGAGCGAGGAGACTGTTGCCGCCGCTGCTCAATAAGCCTATCAGCAGACTGAGAGTGCCCAAATACAGACATCAGTAACAATTAGCTAGCGAACGAGCTCTCTTACTCAACACACTCTCTCTCCCAACTCAAATTAAACAGTTTGCTATGAAACAAAAACTAAAAAGTTCGGTGTCACTTACGTGCGCCCGTCGCATTCCGGCAATCTCCACCTCATTCTTGATGGCCTTCCGCGCGGTGACCGGACTGACGCCCGTCAGCAGTCGGCGCGACTCGGGAACGAGGTTGACTAGAGCGTAGCTCGACTTGTTGCTCATCTGTTAAGGAGAAAAAGGGAAAAGAAGAATTAGTAGAGTAGAGCAGAGTGCGCCCACAAAATCCTTTACAAGAGAACTTTACTACAGCACACTAAAATAGCTGACAAATTACAGTACAACTAGTTAGCTGGCTGGGTAGCAGTGGTGCTATCAGTGATGGCGCCCTTTATGAGCCCGCTAATCAGCCACCAACACTAGCAAAGCACTACCACAGAGCACAATAATAGCGCCTAATTGGAAAGAGAAAGAGAAGGAGAACAATTGAAAAACATCTTCCCAGCAGCAGCAGCAGCAGCGAGAAGACGTAATTAAATTAAACGACAAGTTAATGGCGGCAATCAAATGAGCGGTAAATGCCCCTCATTAGCAGCAGCAGCAGCAGCAGTGCCACGACAATGGACACCACTCACACTACACTACAGAGAACATTTCACGGGCAGGCCCTGTCGACACAGGCGCCAACAAGACGCTAATTAGACTATAATAACTATCACACACTACACCCGTTCAAAGGTCAAGTCCAGCACCACCAAAATACCACCACCACTTACCCAGACTCGACCGCGACCATTGCTGCTGTTGCTGCCGCTGCCACTGCTCTGGGCAATGTAGGAGCGAATGTAGTCGGCGACCAGCTCGTAGGGCCGAATCTCGACCACCTCGCTGGCGGCTGATTNGGGCAATGTAGGAGCGAATGTAGTCGGCGACCAGCTCGTAGGGCCGAATTTCGACCACCTCGCTGGCGGCTGATTTGCCGTCCAAGTTGGCTCCATTCGGCGTCGATCGATTCGAGTGATTCGGAGAGGAGGAGTTGGAGGAGGTGGAGGAGGCGGGCAGCGAGTCCATCGGGTCGTCGGTGGGCTGCTGCAGGTGGGCCAGGGCGCTCGCCGTCAGCTTGCTCTCCTCGATGAAGAGGCTAAGGAAAGACATTTAGGAGTTTGGGAAAAGGTTAAATAAAACTGCAATAAAGTACTTACACCGTCTTCTCGAGGGTGACAATGGCGTAGGCGAAGAACACTGGGTTGTACTCAATGTCCGCGCCGCGGAGGTTCAGCAGCCAGGCGACGTCGTCCAGTGCGGTGAGCACCAGCAGCGAGGCGCCCTTCGCGCGCATCTCCCCCCGCACCTCCTCCACCTTCTCCTGCCACCGCCGGCCGGTGAAGGCAATGTCCAGGGGGAGGACCGGTTCGGAGGGCCGCGCCGGCCGCCCGCTGCCCCAGACGGCGTCCACGAGGTTGGCCGGGGTGGCCACCAGGAGGTTGCCCCCCTCGGCCAGTTCCCGCTCCAGCCGCAGCCAGCCCTCGTAGGACATGGTGTAGGGGTCGGCGCCGACGCGAGCTCCGCCCCCCTCCGCCGCCAGCACCTCGTTGAGCCACTCGCCAATGGTGGCCGTCCCAGGGAGGCGGTCCTTCATCAGCACCCAACTGGCGGGGTCCATCTCCGCGACCGCTTGCAGGAAGTACCGCCCATCGGTCCAGAGGGCCGCCTCCTTGAGCGTCACCACCGCCGTGCCCGCCGAGCCGGTGAACTTGGTGAGGTACTCCCGGCGGGCGTCACACGGCGCAATGTACTCCGAGCCGTGGGCGTCGGCGGTGGGCACGACCAGCGCCTGCAGGGCTGAATCGCTGGAGGACGAGTGTTGATGGTGAGCAGCGGCCGATGAAGCAGCTCCTCCACTGCCGCCTGATCGCATGACCGTGCGCAGCATCTTGAGGATGCTGCAGCCGCCCCCTCGAAGGTCGCTCAGCGCCATGTTCAGTGGTTGGCAGTCGGCGTCGTCTACAAAGGGCTGGTGCTGGTGAAGCAGGTTCAAGGAATGCTGCCGGGGAGAACTGTTCTCGAGATCGGGCAGTACTCGCAGACTGGTGCCTAGCAGGGAGCAGAGAAGGGAAAAGACGATGAAGATCATTTTGGTTGAGTTAAAGAGAGGGTGATCATAAAGGAGGCGCGCAACTTTGCGCACCATCATCACACAGAGAACACCTCGAACACAACTAACTAACTGAAAGAGAGGCTAAAGTTGGAGGACACAGCGGCACTTGGAGAGTCGCCGAGTTGGCCAAAAGTCCGAGTCGTAGCCGAGCCGAGCAAAGCTGCAACTGTGAGCAAGTGATCGAAGTGTCAAAGTCACCTACGACAGCGAAAAAAAGTGCACGGCTAAGCACAACAACAACTGATAGGAAAGTGTCAGTAAGAGAAAGAGGGACAATCTTATCAGGCTGGTTGATATGGCTGCATCAAGCCATAAAACCGACCGACAATGATATAATGAGTTATGATTGCCAGTGTGGCAGAGAGGCAAGGCACACACAAATTGACAGTACTCTTTCTCAACTCGAATAAACCCAAGTGAGCTACCCCCTCCTGCTGAGGAAAGTAAGGTGGCAACTTCGGTAGACAAATTCTGGCAGGAGAGGAAAATAAAGGGGAACTGCGACGCGGAAAAGCAAGCAACAGCAGTGACAAATGGCAGTGTAGAGGGAAAGAGTGAGGAAGCAAGTGTCAGTGGAAGTAGAAGGCTGCCAAAATTGGCATCACCACCAGTGCTGCAATTCTTCCCTTCAAGAACTGTGTGGGCACAGAGAACTTCACAGTGTGTGTTGCTGCTGCGTCGCACACCACTCCACCAGCACTACTACCTACCAAAGCCGTTATTGTTGATGTTGACATCACCACCACCGCCGACAGCACCAGTACCGACGACCGCGGCAGCCAGGTCGAGGCTCTTGAGGAGCGCCGGATTGGCGCCGGCGGTCAGATTGGCGGCGAGGGCGGCGGCCATCTGCGGATTGGTGGCCGCCGCCGCCGCCAGGTACTTGAAGGTCTCCGTGAGGAGGGAGGGAAAGGCGCAGGCGGCGACGGCGGCCACCTGCGCCTCCTGCAGCGCGTCCTGCAGCATGAAGGCTGCCGCTAGGCTCGTCTGCGTCTGCTGCTGCTGCTGCTGCTGCTCAAGTTGCTGAAGTTGTTGTTGGCTAGCAGAGGATGATGAGGATGATGAAGGTGGTGGTGGTTGTGGAAGTGGTAGTGGTGGAGGTTGTAAAAGTGGAAGCGGAAGGTGATGCGAGGGCGAGCTGGGAGGCGAGGCCTTCATATAGCCGCCCCGGCTGGCTGACTTGGGCATTCTTTGAGCGCGGCTGCTTGTCGATGGAGAGTGCGATGAGGATGAGGATGATAATGCTGCTGAGGAGGAAGAATTTCGGTGAAGGTAGTGCTGCTGCTGTTGCTGGTGGTGATGATCATTGCCTGAAAAGGCAAAGGGTGATCGTGATGGAGAGAGGTCAAGGGTGGTGGAGGAGGAGGAAAAGGAATTTCTGTATTGAGCTTTGCCCCCTTGATGATTGTTATTGTGACTGTGGTTGTTGTTGTTGCTTTGGTGATGCTGGGAATGGTGGTGATACTGAGAGTAATGGGGGTGATGATGATTGGAGTTGGTGGGGGGAGAGGTCAGCGAGAGAGGAAGGGTCTGATGTGGTGGCGGACTTCCCACCTGTGATGTCGTTTTTCCTGTGGGAGAGTCCAGTGAGCTTCCGGTGTCACCACCACCACCAGCGGCAGCTGAGGCCGCAGCGAGATTGTGCAGAAAGTTAAAGGCAGAGGAGAAGGCGTTGCCGCCGGGCACCGACAGCGGACCTAGGCCCAGGGGGCCCAGACCGGAAAGTGGCGAGGGCGAGGAGCTGGTGGTGGTGGTCGTCGTCGTCGGAGAGCTTCTCTGCACTCGGCTGCCGTGGAGCAGGGGTGAATGCTGCTGCTGCTGTTGTTGATGATGTCCTGACTTTTGATGATGAGGCGAGGTGGAGCTATTTCCGCCATGCAGAAATGAGGCGTAGGCAGCGGCAGCCGCCGCCGCAGCGGCCATCGCCGAAGAGGCGGAACTGTTGCTGCCGCCGCCGCTGCTGCTGTTGTTTGTGGCTAAAGAGTTGTTGTTGTTGTTTGCAGTGGAATGATGGTGAGCATTACCATTTCCTCCTCCTCCTGAGCTTCCATTTCTGAGCAGGAGCGACGCCTCCGGCGGGTGGTTGTGCTTGTTGTTCGACTTCTTCACCCGATTGTTCACCGTCACCGCCCGTCCCGGGCACTGGCGGTCTCGTGAGCAGCGCCAGTAGACGGTGCCGTCCTT